CATGGCTGTTTTCAGCAGGATAACTTGCCATGTCTCAAAGCTCAAATCATCTCAAACTGGTTTTGTGCACATGACAATGAGTTTGCTGTACGTGAATGGCTATCCCAGTCACAGATTTCAGTCCAGCAGAGAACCTATGGGATGTGGTGGAAGTGGAGATTTGCATCACGGATGTGCATCTGACAAATCCGCAGCAACTGGAGAGGCTATCATGTCAACATAAAGCAAAATTTCTAATGAATGTTTACAGAAATTTGTTGAATCTATGCCACAAAAAACGTTCCACCACTTGTGCTCAGGAGGAGGATACTGTTACGGGAAAGGAAACGTAAAGACACCTTTCGATATGTCCACTGAATTTGTTTAAATTTGGACAGCTAAAACCTTATACTAGCTTAAGATTAACTTTATCAAAAAGGGACTGTAACATATCACCATGGGGTTTATTAGCTAAGTTGGGACAGGGACAAGTTGATTGGTATCTAACAACTGCTTTAAGAGAAATTTAGAAAATAAATAAGTTATCCTTTAACATTAAAACAAGGACCTCAGACACGTTTTAAAGTGCAACCTCTTGTGATTCCACGTGACCTCTGGCTCTTTTCTCCTTCTGCCTTCAAACAGGAAGGGTTCAGAGGGAAACAGGCAGCTTGTTGCCACTAGAAACCACAGCCTTTATAAAGGAATTTCACCTTCACTCTGGAAGTGTGGGAGTCAGTCCCACTGGGAAGAACAAACTCAGTCCATCCACAGTTACAGCATTATTTTTGAACATGAACCCCTGGTAGCATCAGAGACTTACTGTAAAAATTTTTTTTATCTACATTAAGCTGCATATGATACCTCTGCTGCTCTGTGGGCTTTCAAACAGCAGACGGAGGCGGAAGAGGGTGAGAGTGGGTGAGTGTGGGTCTATGAGACAGAGAGGGGAAAAAAAACATAGTGTTTCTTATCTGAGACTAACTTTGTATTTAGAAACGGCTCAACCTGTTGTTGAGAGAAGAGAGCCAAATCACTGCGCAAATGATGCTGAGAGTGTTTAGACTCCAAGGGGCTGAAAAAAGGGGATTATGTGAATCCTTTTGAATCCCTTACTAATCATTTTTGATGCATCTGTTTAGAAAAAGGGACAAAGAGACTTAAAGCTGTGCAACACAACGCTACAAAGCCAACATTAGATGATGGGGCATCTGTTGTTATGTTAGTTATCCTTTGGCAACGACACTGACTAGGGGTACATAAACCCAATATAATTTTTTTTAGAAGAGCATTAGTGTTTTAACACAGTCCATCATGCAAATAGATATAATGGTGATGATCTTAACCAGCAGCGCGATGAATGAGTACAGCTTTATTGATTACTTGATTAAACACTTAGTCAGTCTAAATCACTTTTTACTACAAATAAAATATATTGTTGGTGATTTTAGACAAAAGATGACATATCAAGAAATCACTATCGTGGCATGGATCAACTGATAAATTTTTAAAAAAGTATAATTTTAATCAGGTTTAATCAAGGAACAATAGAGTTGTTAGTTGCAGCCCTGGCATACATCCATTTCCCTCTTGCAATACAGATTTCTGTCCTGTTTCTGTCCTGCTGCCCTCACCAGCTGAATGACACAGGTTCAGCAACAAAGGCATGATTGCTCACCATTTCCCTGCTTGCCGATGGTACTATACACACTTCTAATTGAATGATTATGTTTGAAGTGTGTCTCTATTTCTGCACAGCATATTCATCTGCAACAGAGAGCAACAATTAATAATCAGACACCAATTCTTTTTCTGTGCTCAGTTAATTGTAAATGTTGCCAAATATTCTAGAACACATAAGCACCCATTCATAACTCATCTGTGTAACTTGTTGTGACAAATGAAATTTGAATTTGAATGTTGGCATTGCGTAACTACATAAGTGCTATATGTACAATATATACAGTTACTTATGAGCTGCTAGATACAACCTTAGCACAGGGCTAACGCTGTATTCATACATGTAGGGTCAATTTACGGACTTATGTATTTGATTTGGGACAAAAAATGAGAACACCCAAAATAAAAGTAGCATATTCAATCAAGCACTGTAGCATTTTTTTTAATTACAGCATGTAAAATTTTCACATAAAAAATATCTACAAACAATGATAAAGATATTATGTTTTGTTGACTTGTGTCATTTATCCAAAAACTTCCACTTAAATTGAACGTGTCATTTCATTGTGTTCCCTTGTCAGTGGCATCAGACATTTTTACTTGTGTATGATGCCATTACAACAATGTTTAACATGATCATAAAGTTATTTCATGTATGACTGTTTTGACCACAAATAACACCAGGATGCGCCAACATAACATTAACTACATTAGCCGATGGGTTGTTATGAACAGATGAGTCATATAATAGTAGCACTGAGCTACAATCGTGAAGTTAGTCACACTTTTACTATTAACTATTTTTACACATTGGAAACAACCCGGAAACTGTAAAACACAGACTTAAAAATATTTTTTCTACAAAGGATGTACAGTACTGTGGAAGACTTGAGCCACCACTCTTCTTTTTTTTTTTTTACTTTACTTCCAAAAAGGCAGACTCTTTAAAGTGCAAAAAAAAAGCAAATTTTTAAAGTGGTCTTGAGCAACAGTTCTCCAGGATTTCTGACAGCTGTTTAGAGTTTTTCTTTGGACATTGGCTGCTTTTTACTCATTTTCAGTCCAGTCTTCATACCTGAATGACTTTGTTTTTGTTTGTTAAGCTACTTGACACTAATCTGTGAATCATTTACACATTAAAAAAGCACTTAACTCATAAGCCACACCAGTGTTGTGCCTACACATAACAGACAACTTAAAAAAGAGCCAAAATTGTATCTTTGAGAATTTTGTTAGGAGCTTGTTGTAAAAACACCAGTTGTGTTCTTGTTTTTTCAGTTGCATCTACTAACAATGCCAAGATTATTCCAAACAGCTATTAGCTTAAAACTTACACATATTTCTGCATTTTGTGTGCCATGTCCCTAAAACACTTGAGGAAACTGGATAAGTGGAGGACAAAAAGACAGATTTTTAGGCCCAAACTATCTACAGCAGATAAACAGTATCTGAAAATCGCATCCTTAAGAAATAAGAAAAAAAATCCAGAAAAGACTTGACACAGGACCTGGGAGATACATCTGGTCCTTCAGTTGATCCATCAACTGATGACCAATGGCTCATCAGAAAGGGTCAGTGGGAGGGTGGCTGTCAAGAGGCCATTCTTAAGGAAGAGAAGCAGGGAGAAAAGGCTAGGGCATGCCAGATTACACAACACCTGGGCTGAAAATCAGTGGCAACAGGTCTTATGGAGAGATGAATCCAAATTTTTAATTTTCTTTTAAAATGTCATTGTTATTATAGACATTCATGAGAGAGGGTTAGCTGCCAATCAACCATCTGTAAACATGGTGGAGTCTCTGCCATGGTTTGGGACTCCATTTCAGTCAGTGGTGCTGGAGATTTTGTTAAAATTGATGATACTATGAATACAGAAAAGTGTTGTACGGTGCAATGCCATATGGAAAGCATCTCATTAGCAACAGAATTATTTATCAGCATGACAATGATATCAAACACACTGCCAATGGAGTAAACACATACCTGGCTTAAAAAAAAAAACACACACACACACACATAATGAAAACTTCAGTCATGGATTGGCCTCCCACAAGCCCAGACCTTAACATTATTGAAGCATTGTGAAATAGCCGTGACAGAGATTAGAATAAAAGGCAGCCAACATCCAAAGAGCTTTGAATGCCATCCAAGAAGGCTGGAGAACTAGTCCTGAAGACTACCATTAAAATATGCTTTTTTGGTCTTTTATTAGTAAAGGCATTTAAAACACAAGATGTTTTAAACACTTGTGGAGATACTTCACTCTACAACAAAAATCACACGATGTCTTTTGTTATCTTTTTGACTGAGCAATCCTTAGCAGAAGAACAGTCACAGCAATACTGAAACTAGAAACAAATGACACTGAAATAAGGGACAGTTGTGGATGTATTACTGTCATGTAGAACAATAACTAAAATATAACAGGTAGTTATTTTAGTTATTGATCTTGCTAAGTTATCGATCGCATCCAATTTGAGTTAGAACCATATACATTCAAGGAAACTTTTTTTTAAATTGCGGGGCGTTTCCCCCCCGTTTTTTCACCCCCAAAGGCAGGCCGGCAAAAAAGCCTCTTATTTTTTCTATCAGAAAAATCTCTTCTTTACAGCACTCATGCATAACTCATTTACAACAATCCGATTCATTTTATCTTTCTGATCCAGCGTCTGCAGCTTTGCTGTAGGAAATGCAGCCTTCCTGCATGCATAGCCAATTAATAAACCCCTGTGACAGCCAGACAAGAATAAAGCAGCCTGTGTTAATCTTGTGACCTGATCTAGTATAGGCACATCTACACCACATCCTAAGCTGAGGTGTTACACTAAACTGTGCTAAGATCAGAGGAGGCAGGATTTACATCTATAGAAGGCAAGGAGCTGTATTGTGTAAGCATTATGAAAAATAAACACAAAGACACACGCACTCACACATAAACAAAAAAGCAATACAAACATGTTAAACTCATAAAATAACTCTAAATTCTAAGCTCCCAACAGGGAAGGCGCAATGTGAGTGAAGCAGGAACAGGAGGAGGAGGAGGGCAACGTCATCGTGGTGGTCTGACCATCCGAGTGAGACATGAATGGCTGTGTTAGCAGTGCCCTGAAGGGGCAGCCAAGCTCTCAGCCATTTAGCAGAGTAAGCTGAACAGATAGTGGGATACATCATGTCACACCAAACCGTTCCAACCCTCTACATCCCTGCAGAGACAGATTCACCTATCAGTATAAATGAGAAATGTTTGAAAACAAACCTTTCAGTCCATTATAATGACACCGGAGTGGTCTTCCTTCACTGCAGAGGAGATGAGGACCTGCTACATCAGCCCCACGGGTCTTCAACAAAGAACACAAAAAGTGAGATGGAAACTGTAATCCTCTAAACGCTTCCTTGGCACATCACTGCTTCTCCCTGCCTGAGTATACGCCTGTGCAGTGCGTGTGTATGGGTGTCTCTGTCTGTCTCCTAGACACTGATAATAATAGGCTGCGGGGGGGGGGAATGCACCTCTGCAAAGAATACTAGGCTTCAGACTTAATGAGTCTACAGATATCCATCCTTATCAGACCATGAAACGTCTTTAGGACATCAGTCTGCATTAGAGAAAAAGTGACTGAAATTTGATCAAGTGAGAGGTCCTGGCTAATATCTCAAGGCACAGAGGTGCATTAATATGACAGCTGGATAATAAATTAAAAGTTAATTAACTGGAATTAAGATCCTACCATCAACTTTACAAGCAATAAAGCAAAAGATACGATGTTACCATAATGGCAGGTGGAAATTTTTAACTCTGTTACGCTGCTTATTTCCTGCTACACAAGACAAACCTACTGTACAAAACTACAGTATCCCACATATTTAATTATATTCTTATTGACTGCCTCCCTTCAAAAAACAAAACAAAAACAAATAACGCTCACATACAAACACTAATGAAGAAATCACGGAGATGAAATATATAGCGATCATTACGAAAGATAAGTCGAAAAATTCCGAGTTGAGCAACATTTAACGCAGAGACAAAGTTTGTTGCGTAAATAAGTAAAAATAAGCTTCTAAAATCGTTCAAATATTAGTTCAGTGTCGGTGTACGGTGTAGTGCTGTCAGTAAGCGACAGCAGTGTGTTAACGGACTCAGGTTGACAGTCCCGTTAGTGTGTCCTTACACAGAGCTGGTAATACGAGGCAATTTCCGCACCGACACTCTTACGGAGACCAAAAACGCATCACAGACACGCACAAACTGACCGTAAAACAACCCCAAAAAACTCGACTAAAAATATATTTCACACTTACATGGGTGGTCGCAAACTGTTGGAGCTGACGTTCAACGAGCAACACCCCTACTCCGAGTGCCCTCCACCCCTCGGCGCGCCCGCCCTCTCCCGGCTGACGTCATGGCGTAATACGTAACCCAGCGGGAAAGAAAACAGAAAACTGTGTTAGTAAAGATGACTCACTCGCATGTTTGAAAACTGACACATTATATTGTTACAAAAAGCTTGTGGGAACAAGTCCATTAGAGCCCCGTGTTTTGCTACAAGCAAGCGAAACGCCACTCTTGGTTGTTGTTTTCTTGTTACTCAAAAGCGTCATCTACAGCACACTTAGGGTTACAAGGTTATTATAGCTAACAAAAGCTAGATCTGAAACAAAGTTACCCCAAAAAGTAGGTGTAGTGAAATATGCATATCACTGTCTGACAGGAGTGAGAACTATACCATGTTGTTGCAGTCCTGTGGTTCATTCAGTGATTAACAGCGCATCTTAAACCAGAGTATTCATGATGACTCATTCTGAGTTATTATGAGTTGGAAAATATGTCTGTTAAATTGAGTACGGAAAGCTGCAAAAACAAAAACATTTCTTTCTATGAAGATAATTCAATGTAAATAGCTCATATCATATGTATCATTACTGTTCTGTTCGTGACTTACAAGGTGCTTGTGTGGGATGGCAATAGTAGCTGTTATGAGGCTCTGCAAAGAGACATAAGAACCACAGAGAAAATACCGTACACACATCTCCCTACTTTGCAAGACACCTACATCCTCCGAGGTGTAGGTGTACACTCATACCAGTCAGCGCACAAACTGTTTGAACATTCCTCTCAAAGATACAGGTCTACAGAGATACAAACCACAAGAATAATGGTAAGTACATACCTCAAAGCTATTACCACACTGAACCCAGGATTGAACTCACCCACTTTATAGACAGGCCGTGCAATTGTGCAGGTTTATATTTAGCACTATGATTTATTTATTAGCTCTAGCCCATGCAATACACTCTTTTATGTAATTCTATAATTGCCTATGCTTGTGGTGCATCTGTGAGGCCGTTTCAGGCAATGCACCGTAACTTCACTGTAATCTGTACATCATGCAGTGACAATAAAGTAATTTTGTATTATCTTAGTTTGTCTTTCAGATAAGCGTAATAAAATGACAGCAATAAAATACTGAAAATAGAGTAATGTTTTCACAGTCATATTAAAAACAAGAACAAGTTCCCGATGAGCACTTGTTAAGGTAGCAAATGAGCTTCGTATAGTGTCTAAGGGCACACTCATTCTGTACTTTTCTCTCTAGATCTCAGTGCAGCATTCTATACCGCTGACCACAATATGTTACGCCAAAGATTAGAATGAACTGTAAGCATTACAGGTATTGTGCTGCAGTGGTTTGAATCATATATGTCTAATAGACTCCAGTTTGGTCATGGGGACTCTTCTTCACACACAAAGGTTTATTATGGAGTTCCACAGGGTTTTGTACAAGGACCAATTCTATTTACATTATACATGTTTTCCTTAGGCAGTATCATTCGAAAGTACAACATACTTAAACTGGCATAATGGGTCTAGGTGACCTC